AATTTTGCAGGCTTTACAGGGCAGTGCCACATCGACCGCCAGCACAGTTGGATCGGACCCGGTCCGAGACCCGTCAGCCAAACCATAGCGAGAACGGCAGTCATGAATTAAACGCGTGCGTGCGTGCGTGGGGCGGGTAAACTAACAGCATGAGTTAGTGTCAGCGTCGGTGTTCCTCGTGATGCAGTCGTGGATGACATCACTCATGGTCGGATGCTGGGTATGTGGTCGCGATGCTGGGATATTTACGCGTGTTGTCATAGAATCTGTTAGTCAGATGCTTTTGTGTCTCCATGTGTTGTGTAAGCTTCCATGTGTATGCAGTTCAATGTACAGGTTCTATATTTACCCTCTCTCCTCATCCTACTCTCTCCTTTTCGCCACCCATCTCTCTCATCCCCTCGTATTCTTGCTGACATCTTACTCTCGCTGCCCTTCTCTTTCTCTCCTCTTCTCTCTCTCTCTCTGCCCTTCTCTCTCTCCCCTTCTCTCTCACCCTCTGACTGTCTCTGCCCTTCTCTCTCTCCCCTTCTCTCTCACCCTCTGACTGTCTCTGCCCTTCTCTCTCACACACTCTCACCTTCTCTGCTCTTCTCTTTCACACACACTCACCCTCTCCCCCCTCTTTCTCTCTCTTTCTGGGGTGTGTTCCGCCTCACCGGGCGTCCGTGACGGGGGAGGTATCTGTGTGTGCGTGCGTGTGTACGTGCGTGTGTACGTATATAGGCATGCTACAGGTGAATGCTGACCAACACCGGGTGAAGGACAGGGGAACGTGTGCATGCGTCAGATTCAGCTGCCAGCTCTCTCTCTCTTTCTACATTGAACCTAGCAGCGATGTCACTAGTATGCTGGTGATAGGTGTCTCCAATCGCGACTCCGTCCTTCCTGTCCATGCATCGTAACAACGTGATCGTTTAATTACTATTAATGATCATTATTTTATACATTTATCATTATTTATTACATTTATTTACTCAATTAATAATTGTAATAACGTGATCGTTTAATTGGGAGCTAAGTCGAAAGAATTATCTAGCTAATTATCTTAGCTAAATCATTGCAGATGCGGCAGTTTCAGCATCAGCTTGCTTGTCGATGCTGTTGCATCAGAAATGGTTTTGGATTCGTCGCGCATGTGTCTTATATTATCCGACGATGTCCGATGATAATTAATTATTTCCGAGTTTTAGTGATTAGTTTGAGTGTTTTTATGCTTTCATTGAAATCTCGAACTTCGAGAGAATCTTACTAGAAACCAAGAGCATCGATCATTGGGTTACGTCATTGTTGAGTTCAACCCCCCCTCCCATGTTTTCATCATTGTCGCAATCACTCGCGCTTCTCACCGGCGCCACTTGTTTTCTTTCCTCGGCCGCTGCCAACAGGATGCGCCGACCAATGACGACGCGATGCCCGCGCGCACGGAGACCGCCGGCAGTGATCGGCGCCCCCTACCTGCCACCGAGAAGAACAACAACGTCGACACGGATGGTTTCGTGAAACCCTTTTCCTGGAGCAAGGAGAACGAGTTCTCGATCGCACATGGAGGAGGAGGAGGAGGAGGAGGAGGAGGAGGCGGAGGCGGGGACGACGGGGGAGGAGTGGGGTGGAGCGAGTTCTCGCGTTTTGGACGTGAGGGGTCGGCACGGCAATCTGTCCTCGGCAACCACCCGGGGATGGACGCCTGGGCAGACGCAGCTCACAGACAGGAGCAGCGTGTGCACGGCTCACAGGTAGGTGGCAGCACATGCACGGGTAGGGGGCAGCACGTGCATGGGTAGGTGGCAGCACGTGCATGGGTAGGGGGCATCACGTGGATGGGTAGGTGGCAGAACTTGCATGGGTAGGTGGCAGAACGTGCATGGGTAGTTGGCAGCACGTGCACGGGTAGGTGGCAGAACGTGCATGGGAAGGGGCCAGCACATCCATGGGTAAGGGGACATATACCTGAGCAGACGAAACATACAGGTAGGAGCAATTTGCTCATAGCTCGCATATAGGTGGCAGCACATACACATCTCACGGGTAGAGGGCAGTACAAGTACAACTCGCAGCTAGGGGGCAGTGCGCACAGCTAGTGTTGCTTCGACACTATAGTACGTACTGGTATATTAGTCTACACCCTGGTCTATCATGTCATAGACTATACCATAGTATGTATTGTATAGTATATATAGTATGTATAGACTCTACAGACCTTTGTCGTACAGCCAGCAATCTTGACCCCCTGTCTCTCTCTCTGTCTCCCCTGCAGCACACGGATAGGAAGGAACCCGTGGGAGGAAGCCACAGTGACCCGGAGGACCATCGGATGGATGCTGAGAGGGAGGCGCGCAAGAACCAGCACAACACTGAAGCTAACAAGGCGAATCAGACGTAAGGCAATCGCAGCCAGCGTTCCCGAGTGATGTTCATTAATGTCAGCTCAATCTTTCTCTCTTCCTCCTCCTCCTCCTCTCTCTCTCTCTCTCTCTCTCTCTCTCTCTCTCTCTCTCTC